AACAGTCCTTTCCAGTTTTTTGTGTCTAAAGGCATCTCAGCAACAGACCTGGGTGGTTATGCACGCCCCTTTTTGTTGTTTGTGCACGACGAGACCAGTAACGTATCCGTATATAGTATAGGACACTAGCTGCAAACGTGCACGCCCAAAGACCCTTGTAATGTGATCGTTTGCTTTCGATTCTCCCTCGAAGTTGAGTCACTTCACTTCACAGTTGAGTCTGGTGCCTTATGTTCTTTGTTCCCTTCTCGCAAAGGTGGCTCGCCTTGCTTGAGCCATGCCAGAACAGCTCTGATGTTTCCACTGTCTCTCTGAAAGGGCTTCTCCTCCAGAGATTTGTTGGAATGGGGTGCTTTGCAATTAGCACCTGACTCTGAAACAGAGCACACCATCGCCAGCAATGAATAAATACAGCCTTTCAGCAGGATCAGACCTGTGAGCCTACAGGAAGCTTGAACCAGCCTTCTAGGGAGGAAATCTAGCTTTCTTTGCAACTCCAGGCTTTTAGCCCCCTTGGATGTTGACAGGAGCGCGACCAAGAAGAATTATGGCTGTAGCACGGCCAAGACCCAAACCTGGGAGTCATGCTGTCATACATGCATCCAAGCACTGCAGCGCTCTGCAACAAAGACGATTGCACAACAATTCTATTGCAGCTTTTGCGGCCCAAGCAGTTAGCGAGTCACCGAGGGGCATTCTGCATGCATTCTCATGGTTCTATGTGTTCATAACCGTCCCATTTTGGAACGCTTTCGAGTACTTTGTGGCTTGTCCAAATTTTCTCAACAGCTGAACGTTTGCCGAAGGCCCAGTTCCCAATCTGAAGATGCAGCTCAGGTACGATATGCCTTGTCTTCGATGCAATATTTATGCTCATATTTGCCTTGTCGGGATTGTCTGCTAGCGCCTACTCAGCGGAGACAAAATGCTACGAAGAGAATGGCTATTCCTGGCACAACATCCTGGCCGTGGCCTCAGCCTAGTCTGGACATGGTCCGTCCTTCTCACTTGCTATGTTATGCTATGTTCACACTTGGTGAATGCAATAGGGGGATGTGGGGAGATGTGTGAAGATACTGTAAGTATGCGTATCTATATATATATATATACACCTATGTAGATATGATACATGATATATGATATGATATACATATCCACAATTTGACGCACACACCGTCTGAGGCCTTGAGTTTCATCGTGTCCGCTGTTTTCGCAGCATGGGGTGTGCTTCTGCATGGTGCCGTTGTGATCAGTGGAGAAGGAGCACCACTCAAGAGTGTACAGCTCACCGGGGTATCTCGTTATGGCCACATTCTGGTCGCCTGGACGTTGCCTGGTGAGCGATTCAGTGATGTCAAGTTTCCAGTGCTCTGTTCCTTTTGGCTTTGGCGGCCAGTTTGGGGTGGAATGAATGAGCACTACTGCGGAACAGAGTCACAAGAGCCGTAGAGCCACGCCCGCATGCAACCTGGACCCTAACAATCTAGGAACCAAGCGGTTAGTGCGAGCGTGAGCTATCCTGCGTCCCGTAGCTAGGAGCGTACAAGTTTGCCCTTGCTTAATTAAGTAGGCGCCTACTTAATTGTTTACTTAAGGATGATGCGTGATTGGCCACCGCTCAAGAAACAGGTGATTTGCATGGATTGGGCCCCCAAAGCCCTCTCTTTTGTGATCTCCGGAGCTTCCACTAACTGGTGGGGGTTGGGCTGGCCAAGCCATTGCTTTGCCGCAGGCCCCTCTGCACTCCTCGGGGCTTTCCTTTTGGGCCTTCTCTCGGGCCTTTTGGTTGCTGCCCTCATTTGCTTCTGGGGCCTTGGATTTTTCTCAGTCTCGGTGCCTGTCCCTGGACGTCCATCTCCAGGTGCCTCGTCACCACCTTCCGATCGAGTTCGTGCCTACTTGAATGAGCAATCGCTCAGCACCTTCAGCCGGAGAAGACGAGGAACTATCGCTTTCCCTGGAGTTCCAGGGGCTACAGATCTCGATCAAGGGCAACGCTGACAAAGCGGCTTCCTTTGTGCAGCGTTTGGCAGCTGATAGCAACAGTCCTCCTCCCGCATTTTGGCATCTTCGACAAGCAGAGGGGCCCCAAGCTGTCGCTGGCAAAGTGGAAGAAACTTTGTCGCCGCAGAGCGTTGCATGTGTTGGTTATGGCTTTGAACTATGTGCACAATGGTCTGAGGCCGATTTCGACTCAAGTGCTTGGGAGGCGCCCTTCTCTGGCTCAGCTCTCTGTCTTCAAGAGGCTCCGGGCGCTCATTGCTGCGTGTGATCAACCTGGGGGTGATCACAAGTTACCACCTGGCAGATCTGGTTTTGAATTCATTGCAAAGCTCGTTGAACTTGAAAAGTATGCTGGTTCTCACCCCGACCTCAGCTTTGACTACGGTGGGAGGCTCGAGAGCAGTGAGGCTGCTGACATAGCCGTGGGAACTATTGAGAAGGAGCATCGCTTCGAAGTTACTGAGGAGTTTTCACCCATGCTGCCCTATCAAAGCCTGGTGGCCTCCAGGCTAAAGCTGTCCGGCACTGCCGCTTGGGACATGCAGAAGTACCTGAGCAGTATTCTTTGGCTCCCTTTTCAGGATCCTGGCATCTTGCTGCACGGCTTCAAGCTTGGAAACGTTGGCCCTAGCTTTGCAAGAGAGTCCCAGGATGAGAATCTTCAGCTGGCCAAAATTTGGGACAGTCGTGGCCTTTTGGCTATGTTCCCATGTCGGCATCCAACGGGTCTTGCTTGCAGAGTCTTCACACGCTCACAAGAACTCAATGGTTGACCGTCAGATTGGCGACCGCCGCTGGTTCAATGCCTCTGAATGTCACCCGTCTGGACCTTCGATGCACCTACCTTCAGGCCACCTCATCACTTCGCTTCATTGCCCGAGAGGATACAAGCTGCGGACCGGAAGGACTTTTACCACCAAGCAAAGGTATCCAGAGCAAGGGCCTTCACCAATGTCCTCCCCTTTGAGTATGAACCTGAGTTGGTGCGTGATCTGAAGGCCTGGGATGTGTTTGAGGAGGTAGGAAAGCCTGTGAAACGTGAAACCCATGGCGATCGGCTTGGGCAAACCGCTATCAAGCCACTCCGGGAGAAGGATGTTGCAAAGGTGACCCTTGGGTTCAAAAGCCTCTTCCAGGGTGACCATCTTGGAGTTGAGTTTGCCTTGGAAAGCCACACAGGGCTGCTGCAGAGTGGTGGCCTACTCCATGGGGATGAGACCTACTTGGAAGGGGCTCGTGATTGATGACTATTTTGCAATCAGTTGTGAGCGTGCGAGCTCCCCTGCGGCTTCTTGATCTTCTGTCAAGATGCTCGAGAGGGCAGAGAAGATCTACGCAAAAGAAGGAGTCTTTGGTTCAGATGACAAAACTGTCAGAGGGGCAGAGACCTTCAAGGTGATTGGTGCTGAGGTGCGATCAGATCAGAGGGCAAGGGACTCTGGGCTTGTGTCAGTTGGCTCTCTGCTCGCAAAGCGGGTTCCCACTATGGCTCTTTCTCTTCGGGCTGCTGCTCTACCAGTGATCTCAAGGACACTAGCTTCAAGACTGGCTGGCAGCTGGATCTCGATTTTGATGTTCAGACGATGCCCCTGGTGCATTCTAGCCAAGATTTTTGCCTTGGGGAACCGTGCTGCCTCGGACTCCAACGAGGTAATCAAGCTGTCCCGGTCTACAGCGGAGGAGCTTGTCCTGGCAAGTATTCTGGGCCTGGTAGCAGCTTCAGATATCTCCGTCCCATATGACACTAACGTCTATGCCACAGATGCCTCGAACTCGAAGGGCGCAATCATCCAGCTTTCAGTCGATGAGGAGCTAAGCAAGACTCTGTGGCTCGGAGGAGATAAGCGCGGGGCCTACACGATGTTGGACAACCGATCACTTGATGAGGACCTCGATGATTCACCTATTGCCTCTGACCTCATGACCGGCCCCAACAAGGTCATTCCCTTTGAGTTCGACTTTGTTGAGATCTTCGGTGGGTCTGGAGTGCTGAGTGAAGCTATGGCAAAGTTGGGTTTGAAGGTCTGTCCACCCATTGATTTAGCTCGCAGCCCGCATCATGACATCAGCAACCCTAAGCTCCTCGATTGGATCTTCCAGATGATCGCAGAAAAAAAGGTTCAAGAGCCTTACTTGCGAACCGCCTTGCACTACCTTTTCTCCTGCTCAGCACCCTGCCTCTCGCTCCTACAAGCAGCCCTTTGGCTTTGACAGAAAGGATCCGAAGACGGCCTTCGGCAACTTGCTGGCATTCCGAAGCTTCCTGATTCTTTGGTTCGCCTCCAGGCATGGGGCCCCCTGCTTGAGACACCTCACCTATCGAAGCTCGCTTGGCTGCCCTTTTGGAATTTTATGATCCAGCTTGGCTTCAAGCAGTGCTCAACTCCTGTGCATTTGGTTGCATCCACAAAAAGCCCTTCCTGCTACTTGGTTGGGGGCTTGATATGAGTATGCTTTCAGTTCCTTGCGCCGGAGGCCATCAGCATGTCAGGATCGACGGAAAGTACACCAAACCAGGTGCTGTCTATCACCCACAGGTTGCTGAGCGCATTGCCTCCTGCTTCGCGCCTGCCCTGAAGAAGCAGAGGGTTGGAAATGAGGAAGTTCAAAGGCCGAAGCTCGAGAGTGTCGTCATTAATGACCTTCTACTTGCTGATGGGTGGGAAACATTGGCACATTGGTTTTGGAGCAAGCCTGGGCACATCAATGTCCTTGAGAGCAGAGCATTCGTCGCCTTGGAAAAGCGACTACTCGATCAGGGTGGAAACCGGAGATTCAATGTCTTCCTTGACAGCCGAGTCGCAAAAGGAGCTCATGCAAAGGGCCGCTCATCGGCTCTGTCTCTGAGGCCTTCGCTTTTGAGATCATGCTCCTACCAGATTGCGGGGAACTTGTACCCTGCATATGGCTTCGCTCCCACCAGACTGAATACAGCCGACGCACCTTCTCGAGACAAAGAAGCAGCTCCTTCTGCCCGATTCTCCATTTTGGAGGTTCTATCTTCGCAGGAAGTCGTCACTGTGCACTCACATCAGTTCTCAAGAGCAGCAGCCAATTGGATCCGGCTCTACATTTTGGCCTGCATTTGCTTTTGCCCTGGTGCTGCAGCCTGTGCAGCCGACTCCACTCGCATTCTCCCTCGTGGAATTGGACTTTCATCTCGGCCTTGATTTTTGCCCTTCTTTGGATTTTTGCCTCCTGCGGCCCTCACCACGGCTTTGGATTTCATGCTGGCCTTCCCGTGTCATGGACTTGTTCCTCAGTGAAGCTCCGGAGATCTGAGTGGTCCCCCCATAGGGTTTTGAGTACCCCCCAACTCTCCACGCAGCCTTGTTTCTGGGTCCACACTCCAGACTTTCCCACACACTACTAGGAGCAAGGACGCTACTAGGGGCTCCTGGAATCGCTACTGGGAGCAAGAAGCTACTAGGAGCAAAGGGGTTCACTGCGCGGACCCTGGAGTGCCAAAGGATGCTGTTCTAGGACGATACATTTGGCTCGAAATGCCGGTTGGTGTCGGCCACAAACAGAACAGAGGGATTCTGAAACAGCGGCCCCGTCGCACAGACATCCAAGTGGAAAAGCATGATATCAGCGCCTCTAAGCCGTGTGTTTTTCGCTGTTTGTAGCATGGATTTTTGTTGAATGGTTCAAAACTCAGGTTTTGAGTGGGTTGGATACGATCAGTGTTCTTTGTCGTGCCCATTGCTCATACAGTCCGGTGTTGATTTTACGTCACAGTTTTGGAGTGTTCTTAGCGGACCTGATCTCCCATAAAGTTTTGGCACTTCTTTTTTTTTCAGCGCACCGAGGTTGGTGAACAGGCTATGCTGCCCCCCAACACCCCCCACCCCAACCCCCCCAAACTTCCAATGCGTGTGTGTGCTTGTGGCATCATCTTGGACTTCATATCGAATGTCATTATCCCGTCCCCCCCAACCACCCCCGTCATCTTGCTCAAAAAACTGACCCGAAAGAAATTCCAACACGAAGTCATGTGCTACGCTGATGAAAACTAACTTTATCGCCAAAAAACAACACTTTGTTCTGTGTTGGCGACAGCTGCGAGAGACGCACATGCATGACGGAGCCTCTTTCCTTCCAGTAAAAGAGTCTCTGGCATGGTCCATGTTAAGCCAAATCTTTGGCTGTTGGGCCCGGACACAATTCCATGTCAGGGAAGTGGTGTTTCAAATGACTCCCTAGATTTGAGAAGCAAAGGGGAAAAGGTCTAGTCTTCGACTGCTCAAGATGAAAGGAGGCCATGTGCCACGTGGGATTCCATGTTAGGGAGCAAGAGGCCGTTCGTCGTGGTCTATGGTAGGGCAACGTTTTAATAAGCCAAGGATCTTGGAGGAGGCGTGATCTGATCTCCACAAGCCTTTTTACCAGTACCATGGTCATTCCCAGCAAGTTCATGGTTAAGGCATTCCACGCTATGTTTGTCTTCGCGAGCGTATTTATATACTGTAACGCATGTTAACTCCAAAGGCCCGTAACAAGAAAACACAAGGTAACGGCCCCGCAGTTTGCTGTGGTTTTGGCATGTGTCTTGCAAGACTTCACCCATGTTTTCTCAGTGTTTTTGTGCTTTCTGTCCTCATGCACGTCCAAGCATTTGTGGTATTTTACCAATTTGGAACTGTTTTTAGAGAATTTGCATTGTGTTCGATGTCTCGGTGTGTATGTTTGGGTTTGTAGCCTCACTTATTTTCAGCCTTTCTTTGGCAACGCTCCGGTATCCTTCCAACCGAACGTCATTAGCCCGAAGTATACCCAACCGGACACCCCTGCGCAGTGCGTATGAAGTCGTCGTGTTGAACACACATACGTATTGCACATCACAAAATTAATAATTAAACTTAATTACTAATTCTTGTTTCTACTAGCTTCTTGTTACTAGTAGTAAGGCCCTTGCTCCTAGTAGCGATGCCAGGAGCCCCTAGTAGCGTCCTTTGTTCCAATAAAAAAACTCACGGGACCGCTGTTAGCAAAATGAAGAAAGATGCCCGCCCAAACAGTTTACAGAAAGTGAAGAGGCCCTGTTGAAAACATGCCTCAGGAATTGCAAACGCAATGAGCATAAATATTTGAGTGGAGAGCTGTGAGCAGGGAGGTGGGCAGCAAGGGTTGGAATGAAAGAGAAGATTCAGGAATTTTCATGTTTTCTTTTTTTTGAAGTGGCCAGGGTTTGTGCCACCTGTGGCATGTTGGGGCGATTTGTTCAAAAGTCGCCTTGCAAAGAGTCAAACAATGCCTATTCATGAAAAAGCAAGAACACCACAAATCGCGCGGCCGCTTCTAAGCTGACATCATAAACATATATATATATATAACTACATGTCTTTCAACTTTCCTGTGTCCAGGCCGCCAGCGACAGACACTTCCCGCGTGCAACCAGGGAGTTCGTCGACAGTCATTCCTGACTGAAAGTTTGTAAATAAAATTTTTTGCAACACTGGGGGTAGACAAGCGCTGATCAGAAATTACTGCGTGGCGGGCTGTCTGGTTCTGGTAACTTGTGGCTATTTTGACTTCTTGACACTTGAGCTAAATCTGGGCCACTCATGGATCTAGAGTTGAGGATATGGGGTCAAGTCCAAGAATTCAGCTCTCCAGGTTTTTGGCAGCTGTCTTAGAAGCTATTGCATCCCGACAGCAGCCTCTTGAATGCTCTGGCGAGATGCAGGGAGTGCTCGCAGAGCCTGCACTTGGAGATGTGGACAGTCAAGCCCTCACCCGCGCGCATGTCCCTTGGACAAGGAGGTATGGCTCCTTTACAGGGGGCCTTACCTTCCTTTTTTCTTCATAGATTCATATGTGTTTTTTGCCTGTTGGTTTTCTTAGTTGACGTTTTTGTGTTTTTGATCACTGCGCTTAGAGCTTGTGTGGACCAGTGGAGAACTTTGAAGCACATCAAGTCACTTGAGACTCATTTGGGATAAGGTGAGTGCCTTGTGGCAGATGGTCTCCACAGTCATGTGGCTCATTTGGGTGGTGGCAGCAGTGGCAGCGGCAATGTCCTCAAAGCGCTGCATGCTCGCACTCGAAGAGGCCCAAGTATCTCAAAGACAAGACAGCGAGGCTCAAATGGTTGGAGTTCCAGTGCAGGAGGAACTGCCAAGTGGTACTGTCGTTGGTGTTGCAACTCCATCTCTTCAAGGAGATGTTCCAAGCCAGCCCACTTTTCAAGGAATGCCCGTAGCAATCGCAGATGGAGTTTGCCAAGGTATGCCTGTGCGGGATGAGGCTGGAAATATGAGCCATCCTCCTACAGGTATACCGAAGCAAGTTTAGCATCAGTAGTGTCCTAGACGCTGTGATGACTATGCCGGAATGTTTCACAGCACCAATCTTAGAACAGAGGATGAGGATCTGAAAGTTGGCCGTGTGTTGGGCGTGTCGCATGCACAATTTGAGACTTCATGCACTGTTTGTGCAAGAATCAGGTCAACCACAAAATGGTTGGCTCAAGTCTCTCTCTTATATATATATATATACACTTCGAACTCAGCGTGGGCAAGAGTAGCTGCACTGCAATAGATCGCCTGGTAAAGGGGTGGAAGGAGTCAATAAGACCACTATGAACCCAACTCTGAGCGAGCGCCAGTCCTACTCAATCTATATACTCATTCTTGCTGCCTGTGCCATGTCTTTCCCCACTAAGAGATTGGCCCGAGTTGCTTGTGACTTAGACCAGCAGGTGATTTGCCGTCCCTCACTTACTTATATATATATATTATATATAATAGTGAGCTAAGCTGCTTGCATTCAGGTGAGCTTGGTCCTGGCGCTTTCACTGTGTGTGTCGAACAGGCGCGGTTTGTTTGTGCTTGATGTGCTTATGCTTTTCATCCACTTCTCCAGGCACTGGGTCGGCCCACAGGCCCGAAGACCTTTCTGGATTGGATTTTTGGTCATTCTGTGTTCAACTATGTTCCCCAGTCTCCCTGCAAATCATTCTGTACCCTCTTTGGCTCAAGCCGGCCGACTTGATTGGCCTTGGCATCAGTGATGTTGAACCGCGGTCTTCTCTCTGTTGTACGGCGGGCTGCTGGCTACAGTGCGGCAGCCGCAGTAGCATCAGGTAACTTTTCAGCAAAACCTTTGGCCACAAGCGCCCTGGTCTTTGGAGCGGCAAATGGAATCGGCTTTGGCATTTCTCTAGCAACCGGTTGGCATTATCATTTGGACTTGATAGGGACTGGCATCTTTTCCGTATTTGCACTTGTGTTGCGGGGCAGTGCAGGTGAGCCACGACAAAATGCAAGTGCCGCCTGCATTGCCCTTTGGGCGTTAAAGCTTGCAGGATTCCTCTTTTACAGAGCGCTCCAAACCCACACAGATGCAAGACTGGATGATGTGTTGTCGACCATTCCAGGAATGTTTGGATTTTGGTTTATCTCGTTTGCATGGGGATGGATTGTGTCATCTCCACATGCCTTGGCGGCCTGTGTCACCACCCGGCCTCCCTTTGCGTGGATTGATGGTCTTGGGCTTGGTATTTTTGCAGCTGGCTTCTTGCTGGAGACGTGGGCAGACTGGCAGAAATGGCAATTCAAAAAGGACCCCGCATCCCGTGGGAAATTCTGCAATGTGGGAGTTTGGCAGCTGTCCCAGCATCCCAACTGGCTTGGCAACTTCATGCTCTGGAGCGGCATCGTGGTTCTAAATTCATCAACATTAATGGCAGCAGGCCCAGCATACTTTCTTCCAAGCCTTTTCAGTCCGCTGTTCTTGCTGGGTCTATTTTACGGCCAGGCTTGTGGTGCTATCTCAAACACAGTTCAGCTCACACAAGCCAAGCATGGCCAAGACCCAGAATTCCAAGAATATGTGCGGAACGTGCCACTTTTCTTTCCAACAGGTGGTAGTATATGGAGAATGGTTTGCGGCTGATAAACTCACGTTCTGATGTCAGGCGTAGTTGCACTCGCCGAGACATGAAGAAAAATGTCCGAATGGGAGGCTGAACCTTTTTCATTCGCCCATTGTCAAAGACGTTGCTCCAGGTCTTTACGGGGTCATGTGCCCATACTTCTCAGAGGCAGGGTAGTAGGGTCGTGCAACTCTAGCTTTCACCCGTCCAGTGTTGAATTCATGGGACGCGAAAGTTAGGTCAAGTGGGCCACGTTCGAGGACTGCAGTACTCTGCAGGATTGGTCAATTGTCGCCTCCGAGCTGCATGCGTGGCCCATACAGGACAGCAGTCACCGCTGCTGCGGAGAGTTGCTTGGCCCAGCCACTCACCTGGAACAGCTATTAAAAACAATAAGCTACTAGGAACAAGTGCATCGCTTCTAGTAACAAGTGCCTTACTAGTAGTAACAAGAAGCTATTAGAAACAAGAAGCACAGGAGAGTTAGACCAAGGTTCTCGCACCCCTGAGGCTTGCCAGCATGACCACTTTGTCCATTGACACGGGAGACCTCACGGTCATCAAGGCACGAGGAAGCATGTTTAAACGGATGTTTATGTATGGAAAAGGTGCCTTGTTGACAGGAGTATGCAGAGACAGGACTCATCACAGATGCAACGACGTGCCGGCCTGAGCATTGGCGCGGGAAGAAGAATCCACAACTCAAATTACAGAGTGTTTTTTTCTTTGCTCTACCTTGGCTTTGCCCATGGCCCCTGCAAAAGGCATTTTGCGACAACTCCACCTTGGGGAATGGTGGGTTTACATTGCTTTGTGGGTCACTAACACCTTTTTGAGTATTGAATCTGTACCCCAGCCACCTATCGAAGTAGCTGGCAGATTTGATTCAACCTCTGACTCTATCGGCGTTTTGTCCCTGTGGGGCAGCTGGGTGGCAGCTAGACGAGGCAGAGAGAGAGAGAGAGAGAGACAGACAGAGAGAACCGGCAGTTGGCGGAGTCCAAGTTTGGCTCCGAACATTTGGGTCTATATTTCTGTTTCCTGGTGCTGGTGGGAAACATGTGCCTCCCTGAAACCTGCCGCTTTGTGCTCTTTCCGGTGCCACTGTATTCATTTACGGTACCTATTCCTGCAGGAGGCAACGCATCCATTTGCGCCATTTTGTGGTCTAGGTTGGAGGCCATCGCTAGTAGATTGAGGCCATCCCTTCTAGCCCGAGTTGTTGGCTCATTCAGATTGTGTGTTGACCGAATGTTCCTGTGGGACGGCTGCTTCGGAGCTGGACCTTTTGGAGGGTTCTTGTGCGGGACCTTCAACTTTTGTTTGCTGGAAACGCCTGTAACTACAACCTCTCAAATGCCTTGTGAAGTGATTAGACCACTCTGGTGAAAGGCTTTGCACCGCAAAAGGGTACTTGATGCTGCACAGTTTGCCTGGGTGTTCTGAGTACTGACCTGCTCCATTTTTTTCGTTTGCATGGGCTCGAGGGGGACTGTCAGGAATCCTTTGTTTGTCAGCCAAGCTGGCCTGAGCGGAGATCCCGTCATACGCTCAGCAGTAGTCAAGTGCACAAGAGCGGACACGTTCATTCTTTTAAGGTATACGTAGCGCTGCTTGAGGATGCGCAACTGCCTCGGCGTACTGCCGTCTGTATGGTCAGGTTGGCTTGTCCAATGGGAGTGGCACCAAGGATAGCTTATGCACGCAAGTCTTCGACAAAGGAGGACGACGTTGTTGAGTTGGCCATGGACAAGCTGGCAGTGAACCTCGGGGTTGTCCACGCCTCGGAAGAGGGAAAGCTGCAAAGCTGCCAAGCTTTTATGACTGTGCCTACCAAGGCCATCTCGAAGCTTGTCTCCGGGTATATTTCCACTGAAGCAGTATCCCCAGAGAAGCCTGACAAGTCACATCTGCTTTTTTTGCATTAGAGGTCGACCCACGCTTGAGCTTCAACAAGGACTCTCACATGGCTCAGCTCAATCATGTTTAGATGAGCAGGTCTTGAAATGCCACGCAGGAGGAAACTTTGCGACGTGCTAGGCGGATCATTGCTCCCACCCCAGCTGACTGGGACAGTATCATCAGGGTGGCCGGTCGCCATGCCCTGGAGACGTGCTAGGCTTTGTACGAGGAAGCTGGCATTCCAAGAAGTAGAGCTAGAGCCTTGGTCGACTGAAAGCGCAAAGAGGCAAAAGTAGGCACCTGGAGAACAGCATGTCATGCGCCACCAGATTGACAAAGGTGCTGATCAAGCTAGCGGCCACGTGGGAAGGTATTGCAGCAATGAAGGAATTGGAATCTGAGGTGTGGAATTTTGCATGCTTTTACATCATTTTTGATGTCGCACTGACGTCTCTGAGTCCCGTGACCCCGATGTGAATCAACTTGCAGGGCATCACTTGCAACATGACCCTGGTGTTTGGCTTTGTGTCAACCTGAGTCAGGGCTCTATATGGAATCAATGTCACGAAACTTCTCTGGCAAGGCGCAGGCTGTTGCCGCTGCTCAGTGTCGAGCCTAGATTATCCTAGATTCAACATGCCGATCAGTGGCAAGCTCAATTGCAGAGGTATGGTGCACGTCTCATTTCGCCTTTTCCTGGGAGAATCTTGGACTTCCACAAGAAGCTGTCAGGCCGATATTCAGTGCCAGAATCCCATGAACTCCAAGACAGATTTGATCTGAGATGTGGTTTTGGAGGGAAAGACATTTGGGAGCCAGAGAAGGCACGCAACCCATTTCAATTGTGTAGATTTGCTGTGTGGCTTGCCGTGCAGGATCCTGGTGTGGTGGCAGTGCGGCGCATGTGACCTGTTCATTGACACGGGTGTTTGACAACCTTGAACAAGACAACCGTACATGATCACTTCCCGCATGATAGGCTCAGGAACAGGGATCAACGTGCAAGGGACCAATCAACGACACAAGGACAGCCTGGACACCTTTTGGTTTTCAACCGACTTTGACATTGTTTTTTCAGCACGGAGCCTTGGGCTTCAGGCATCTCATGCCAGAAACCTTCAAGACTGACTGACTGACTGACTGACTGATTGGTGCATGCTTTAGCTCCGTGCTGGTCCTCGCAGATCGTGCACCTCAGCTGCGTTTGTACATTTATTGAAACTTTGAACCTTGTAGGGAAAATGCCGAAGGATGCCATGAGGGTGGCAGATTTGTTCAGCAGATGGTGCAGTTTTTGTTTAAAGTCTAGAGGCAGCATGCGCATCGCATGGCTTAGCACACCTTTTGTGGAAACTGCGGAATCCTTTTAAAATAATTGCATTTTGTGGTGCGGGCAAGGCCCCTTCAACATGCGCTCTCGGGCATCCCTCCCTGCAACTTGGCCTTGACCCCTCTCAAACCTTGGGCAGACTACAGTATTTTCACTGGACTGAGGTGGTCGCCTGCCTGCTTGCTTGTGGATACCTTTGGCTTTGTAAGTTCTCTTCGTCTGAGACCCGAAGTTTGCCGCTTGCTGCTGTGCAGGTTCAGGCGTACTGTTCGCTGAGCCTGATTGATCGCCCCCACATTTTGACTGAGCACGTCCCTCTCCACTAGGGCTTCAGAGAACCACCTCCACTTCGCCAGCGAGTTGCTTACGTTGCAGTCGTGGACGCGACTTGGCCAATCTTCTTGAAACGGAGTGTGCTGTGCTCTTTTTTTGCAAACATAGTGACTGTGAAGGTGAATGTGAAGAAGGGTCAAGAAGCTGATTTCTTGGAGGCATTTTTTGATGACACTTGTATTGGGCGAGTGAACGCACGACTCTTCGTTCTTTTATGTCAGAAGGTGACTCTGCCCAGGCTTCGCTGCAGAATGCGAGAGCTTCTAAAAGTGAAGCTCTAAACCAGCGATTTGACATTCTTCAGCAACGACGCTTGGCAGATGCGTATCTTCACATAGGGCTGGTAAAAATAGTGGTATGCACACACACACATATATATATATACACATACCGTATTAGTATGACAATGGTATTCTTATGACCCGTTTGCAGCTTGATGACACCAAGAATGACACCAAGAGAAGCAAGCGCTTGCAGAACCTAAAGCAGAGGAGACGACCCCAGCCGCTTCGCTTTGATTGAGATCTACAGGACGGAATGGAGCAATGCACTTCAGGCAGTCATGATTCATTATTCTACTTCTCAGCTTTGCTTGGACGCCATAACCACTCAACTACTCACCCATCCCTGAGTAAGTAAAGTGGAGGAATGCAAATGGCCCTGCTGGGCACAAAGAGACCGAGCACTACTTGACTTGGCGGGAGGCTGTAGCAGAGATGATGGCAAGCCCCAGGCCTGTGCCGTTGTTTGCCGATCGCATTGGCTCGCCAGTCTCCGCTGTGACTTGGGAGGAGTGGAACTCAGTGGGACACAGTTTTCCCGGGGAAGGCCGCATGGGATGTGTGTGCGTTGTTATCCTCACGTTGAAACAATAAACGAAGGTACGGGTTTGAAGGTGTACCTTCGTCTCAATTTTTGAAATTCTCTCGAATTGTTCCTCGGTGGGGCAGGCATCTGACTACCATCCATCAGTGATGATGCTGGAGCGATCCCAGGTGCAGAACTTCCCCATTCTCCCACTGGTTGTCATGTGTAGCGGCAATGATCCTATCAGCGACTCCAGACCAACTGCAGGGTGCAGCGGACTTGGACATCACCCACGTGTATGTCAGTGTCACTCCTGGGAAAGAGCAGGCCTCTTTACCTGTGTTGGGCAGGCGGCATTGGAAGCGTGCTTTAGACTTTCACCGCGCCAAAGATTTATTGTGGAGATTTATATAACTCACCTGAAAGCTCAGAAAGCCTCCGCAAGCATGAAAACAGTCGCCACAAACAGATGGCCAGAAACCAAGCTCCGATGATCAGAACTAGGATGCTTCAAGCATGGTTCTTCCACTTCGTCTGGCTGCCTTGTCGGCCCTCCTAAGCATTGCTAAAACCAGAGTAGTCGCATTTTTGTGGCGTCCTGCATTGTTTGACCAGCCAGCACAGCCAGATCGCTTGTGCCTTTTAGCGGGACAGGAATTCAAGAAAGCCACTCGAGAGAATGCCATGCAGTCGGTCAGATCCTCAATACTACCGAAAGCAGAGGCCAATTGGCAGTGGTATGTAGAGCAGGTGCCACACAGTGCAGGTGAAAGAGTGGGGCAATTTGCGCTTTGATGTCCTGCAGAGCGTAGAGACACCGACCGAATTTCTGCTGATTGAAGTGTACAGGCGGGATTTTTTACTTTCTTTACTTTGGCACTTCTACTATTTGCCCCGAAGTGGTTTTGGCATCAGGACTGCTGGCGATGCTGCGCAACATAAAGAGACCAAGCACTACTTGGAGTGGAGGATAGTTTATGTATACCATAATGTTTTCCACACTCATTCTGACTCCAAAAGTATGAAGGAAAGAAAAGAAAGCAAGAAAGGAAGGCGGAAGGGGACAAGAAAGGTGCCCAAAAGATCCTAGGAACCAAATCAACCATGCCCTCTCTACCCCCCTAGTCTTGGCAGCCCACCCTGACCCAAGCTCCCCCCCAAAAGTGGGACATGTTGTGATTTTCAATAGCTATCCAGCATGGACCCCCTGTGTGCGCAAGGAGCACTGTGGCTGACATGATGGCCAAGCCAAGGGAGGCCAAAAAGTATGCATAGAACCCAGCCAGAGTGAGTTTAGAAGTAAACAAACATGCGAAGAATGCAAATGTTGGGCTTTTTGGCTTCCATGATTTCAATGCCAGATCTTCCGAAAGCGAGGTGACCCATTTCCCCACCGTACCAGCGGCCTGGAAGGTTGGTGATTTGGCGGCGGGCTCAAGAAACATGCATCAGGGTGCTTGTTTGGCCTGGTCATGCGGCTCAGGTGATTTGATGCGGCATGGAGGGAATCAAAGCGGCAAAAAGATGTGTCTTTTGAATGAAATCACGCTACCACCTGCAGCAAGTTGCTAGAGTTTGGGCGATTGGCCTCTGGCAGCTGGAGAACTGATTGTGCGAGAGGTATTCCTACTACAAACGCTATGGCTATGACACCATTTGCATGCCGGCCAGCTGGCGGCCATCAAGGCTTTGCAACTCGCTCCGTATCCTAGTTGCTCCTAGTAGCGATGCCCGGGTTCCTAGTAGCTAGGAGCGTCCTTGCTCCTAGTAGCGATGCCCGGGTTCCTAGTAGCTTCTT